GAATAAGAGAGATCAGAAAGGCGAAAAAAAAATGAGGTATTTTATTTAATACGTATAAGTACAAAATTGTTTTGTAATATATAAATGAGAAACTTTCTAATTTTATATTCATGTGAAATTCCACGAAAATCACGCGCGACATTCTTTATCACGAACATATTACATGTGCTAACAATGTCACAGAATCGTTGCACGTACTTGTGCATATTTAATCCCAAGGTTAAACGCTTTCAGTTGAAAAAGACAAAGAACATCCGATTAAAAATATAATCGCTTTGTACGCTGCACATCTCGCGCTATCGAGTTTCTACGAAACAAAAATCGCGCGACGAGACAAATAAATTAGCGCGTATTAAGCTTTTAACGGAGTTTTAATACGACATTACGACAGAGTTTACGTCGCACGTGCGCAAATTTAATCGCGGGATCGTCTTCAGACCCATGTATGGAGGAGGGGAGAAAAAAGAAACGCATAATAGCCGGCAGTTAGAATGTATGTACCTGCGTCCATTCGCGTTAACGACGCAAGGACAGGCGTAACGTCTCGCACGTTTCTAAATCGCCGGCAATCATGGACTTTCGATCACGGACGCCACGACAGGACGGAAACGTCAGTACCGTCTCACGACTCCAAACAAATCGGCAACCATAATTTTGCGCTGTAATTTTGTAAAAAAATTCAATTTAAAAAAAATTGGTGTTAATCAATTTAGTTAATTAAAATACATTCCTAATTAATTAATGAAATACTTTAATTAATTTACTAAATTAATTAAATATCTTAATAATAAATTAAAATACTTGAATAAACAGAAATCAATTTTCCTAATTCATCCGACTGATTAAGTTCTTCTGATAAATTGAACGAATGTACATTTAAAATAAGGGAGAAAATGTGTGGAGCAGATTGCATGCAGCAGAGGATTTCAGTTCGGGGGAGTCGATACATCTCCAAAGTCGCGATAGCTCAATTAGACCTTTAACATCGTAGGACCTCGCGCGATCGGTTTCCCCTTTCGTCGGCGAATCAATAGCATCGCGCGGCGATTTCTCACGGCGCTCACGGTGCCCACGCACGAAATGTGCGAGCGTAACCGAGCTGAATGTAATTGCGGGCCGTCACGGGCCATTAAAGTTAGAAAACTGGCGCTAGATCGGTCGCTAACAAATCGCCGCGCTACGCCACGCCAATCCAGCTCGACGACCTACCTAGCGATTGTTACTAACGTGTCGCCACCGAATCGATTTGCGTTCACGGGCCGTCGAGCAAGTCTCACAGTTTGTCTCAATTCCGCGCGCGAAATTCCACACGGACGTATTATGCGTCGCGGGAACGTGCGCGCGACACCGAACACGTTCTTTCGCTTCAAGTGCGTTCAAAAAAATGCGCTACTTATCGTTAAATCTTTGATCTCACGACAAGAATTAAATACCGCACGAATGTTGAATTCTCAAGTAATATGATTTTAATTCTTTTCTTCAATTCACACGACTCGTGACGTTATATAAAAAAAAAATTCTTATTGAAAAAATTTTATTCTAATCAAGAGACGCAATAACGTCTCCGCCAAGTATATATTTTTTTAGTTACATCGTGAAGGAGAATTTATAATTTTATTTTATTATATTACTTTTATATTAAATAGTACCAAGATCTCTTTTTCTTACTGCGATTTGATAGACATTCTCATTAGGATTACTTGAACAGCCGAGGGAAGGTTAAGGAAACTTAAGTTTGCGCAAAGTAACGTGCCTCTCCAAGGACACAGCGAGCCGAGCTCTCGTCACCGATCGTTACAAACGACCGGTCGATTTTAATTTTAGAAGTGCGTAACATCGAGGATGCGTGTTTACCGTCGTCGTCGCCGCCGTGGTGGTTTCCTTTCACCTGACGAAAAAGTATCCAGTAATGGGAAAGAGGATAAATGCAGTCGTCCTCGAGTAAATTCATCGGCGACAGACGTTCTTATTATTAGGATCATTATTATTATTATTATTCCTCGCGAGATTTGCAGGCTATCGAACCCACGTCCTTAACCTTTAACGCTCGCCCGGAATAACTCTCGGCCGATGTTTGTTTCCAGATTGTCTAGACGAGACGAAGCGGCGAATCGCACACCGTCGCGATGCGCGTTGCATTAACTTTTTCCTCGTCGCATTATCCCGTCGCGTCGCGGACTGACGCGAGGAAACATCTCTATTTGAGACCCTGGCGTAGAACGATGGCGCGCTGGCACCTTCCTTCAAATTATCATCAAATATTATAGAATCACACGTCATATCTATAGATAAAATATAAATATTTAAATCCGATTTCGTTTACGGCTATATCGAAATTGACATGAAATTCTAGAATTCCTTACCGATATCTAATGAAATTACTTTTTATATAAAATTTTCTTGTTACTCGAAAAATCGTAGAAGTTACACGTCGAGTAATCAGTTTACTCTCGCGCTTGCAATACTGAGACAGGTATCGAGTTGAAAGGAATCTTTTGAATAAATATGTGTGTTTAGTTCATTCGAAAACTATAAATAAATATTTCTCGAGGACCATACCATTACCATACACGTATCGGTGAGTGCTTTCCGATCTCACCGTCGTGTCCGACCGTCCGTTCGCCGACATTTACAGCTGTTTCAAAATCCGCGCAATTCACTTTGCATAGCGGGCTCGAGTGTTTTGTTTTTTTATCGCGACAAGAGAGCCTGGAAATCGTGATTATGACAAAAGGTCAAAATGCAACCGTTGGTACAGTACATAAATAAGCGACGGGACGTTTGGGAAATTATTAAATTATTACGGTAGTCATAATAACACGTTTTTTCCTTAAATAAGTATTCGCAAACACTTTACTTGAATGTATTTATTTAAGACTAACGTAAGAGACTTGGTATTGATTCTTGATAATTTGCAGCAAAATTAGCCTTAATTTAAGTGATGCAAAATATGTAAAGATAATTTCATATATAAACGCACACGCGTAAATATTTTTCATAACTTTTTAAATTTTCGAACTTTTTTCATCTTATAAATATAAATTTGCAAATTTCAAATTCATCTTAATTTGCAATTTGCAATTTGTAATTTATATTAATAACGTTGCGAAATAAATATTGATGAAGGAACAACGTGTGACATGTACTTCTCGCTGATATTGCACACGGCGATCGGAATTAATTTATCGTAAAATAAGTGCTGCTATTTCTCCAGAATGGCAAAGTAATTCTTACGTAGTCGCATCGTGAAAATAAATTTGCTCGCGCCTCTCGTAATTCATCTCCAGCATTCGAGATAATTGGATGCATAGAATCTAATTTGCATAGCGGAACATTCGTTTTTATCGCGCCGAGGGCGAGAGGCAATCAAAAAAGGTCGCATTATTATCGTAGAATCGTACGCTAAGTAAAGAATGGCTAAAAGCTTCGGGGTTTGCTGTCGTGCCCTCTTTCCTTTCGTTGAAAAATGAGACCTGTTTTCCCGTTGCTGCCCGTCCTACTCTAGCGCGAGATCGCGCCCAGAGCTCATTCCCTTTCCTTCCCTCGCTGTCGTTCAGATGCAAAAGTTTCGCAAGTACAAAAGGGCGCAGGAATAAAAAGTGCACGGGTAAAAGGACGACGGGATGATCCTCTCGTAGCTGCTCGAGACACAACGTCGGGGCCTGTGTGCGCCGAGTGCACGACTGGCCATGCTTTTAATATTGCTTCATTTCAATGGCGCTTACCATCACAATGCGGCACAAACCTCTCACTTTAGTCTCCGATCCCACTTTAATCTCCGAATATCCCAAGTTGGCGTCTTATTAAGTATCCCGCCATTGTATCGCGATTATCTCGTGCACCGCGCTTTATCGTATTGTTTGAATTTTCGTATTTTAACGTCGCTGTCATCGCGACGTAATTAGAACAATGGTCCATTACGCGTTTATTAGTGACACAGCGAGATCAAAACTTTGAGAATTTGATCTATTTTCATGTAGCTCGTGTATTACTGTAAGGAATATCGGTATGCGCCGAGCATTTTAACCTTGCATTAGGTAATAACTAAGCTGATAGCACTGAGAATTTTTTGCAAAAATTCCTCTATATACAGGGTGTTCCGAAATTCGCGAATCAAAATATCATAGAAGAAAGTCTTCGAGAAATTAAGTAAAAAAGTTATTTGTAAATTTTCAATTTAAGCAGTAGTTATTGAGATATGAAAGTTTAAATTTAGCCAATTATATAGATTAGTACTCGCGTGAAGTTCGCGACCACTAACTACGATGCGCTCACGGACATGTTTCCGTTTAATCGTAATCTATAATTGGCTAAATTTAAACTCTTATATCTCAATAACTACTGCTTAAATTGAAAATTTACAAATAACTTTTTTACTTAATTTTTCGAAGACTTTCTTGCTATGATATTTTGATTCGCGAATTTCGGGACATCCTGTATATATCTCTTCTCTTTAGAGTCGTTTCCAAAGCTGGCTGCATTTAGGTGAATTTTCATATCTCATCACGTCATCTCATATACCTCAGGCGCGCAGCGCAATCCTTTGCGCGGATGACTCACGAGCTCCGTACGGCGCCGTCCCTCCTGCGAATAAACATTGCACTCGTGCGGATGCATACGAATTGCATCGCGCAAATCCAAAGCCGCGTCGCTTAAATGCGCCGACGAGAAGGCGGAAATGTATATATAGCGAAGATTGCCTCTACGATAATATCGAGACACGAATAACGAAATTAATGGTGAAAGAGAATTTACGTAATATAGCGGCTGCGTCCTCGCGGGGATTCTTTAACTTACGATGCGACATGTGTGATACGTTATCATACGAAAAATCTGTTGCTAATCGGATATGCTGTTGCGAGATAGAGATTAAGGTGTAATAATAATAAAAGTTGCATGTCTGTGGAAGAGAAATCAGATAAATAACCTGACTTATAAATCGAAGTTAAAATTCAATATTTTCCTTTTAATAACATAAGTTTCTTATTTTCTGATTACAGGTAAGCAAGTTGGCATCTATATCCAATTGTGTTCATGTCAACGCTTAGGTACACAAGACTAAGGTTTCATCAATAAATTTAATGAGCTAGTATCAAGGTATGCCTTATTTGAACATTGATTTATTTCTAATCTGCCTACTCCCTTCCTGCCCTTTTCATCTCTCTCTCTTATTCGAGATGTTTTAGTTTAACTTAATTAAAAATTGCAAGTTTCATTAAAATGTTAAATTCGAGATAAAAAAATATATTTGCCGCTAGCAGATTACACATGTTGTCGGAGATTGAATTTGAAGAGAGGAGGAAGGGAAACATTACTTAAATGTTCCTTTGCAAAACGCTTGAATTCGCGATAAAGTTAAGCCGTTCATATTTCTGGGGTGAAATGTTTTTAGTTAATTCAGCGGAATGATTTCTTTGAAGTATCAAGAATTAGAATTACACTACTGATAATAAGAAAAAATTGTTGATAAACTTTATTTTGGAAGCAAGGTACTAATCTCGCAATCGGATGCGCGACGCGAATCTCGCGCGCAGAGCTCCACGGGATAGAAAGCGCTCGACCTAATCGGCGTGTCGCATCGCGTCTTGCATCTCATCGCGTCAGATGATATCGTCAGCTCTGGGCTCTTGTGACGAGCGAGCGGGTGGAAACACAGCCCGCGCCGCGTGGTGGCCTCGCGGCTCCTTGACACGATAGCACCGCTACCACCACGATACGCCGCCCACGATATTAGCGAGCGGAGTGTCGAGCGCACTTCTCTCCCGCAGGAGGTCAAGAACAAAAAGAGAAAGATCCTACGTGCAATCTCCCGTCATCCCGCCCTATACGACGGGCGTCTCTAGCGACGCCTAGAGCCGTCTCTTCGCCTAGAATCGCGGCCACGGGGGACGATCGATCGATAGACGACGAGCACCGCGCCGAATCCTCACTCGCGAAAAACGCGAGTCTCCCCCCCCCCCTCCCCGACGAAATGAATGAGGAGACGTCGCCGCGCAGTTATAAATTGCAAAGCGCCGCGCCGCCGCGCCAACAATAAGCCACGTGCTGATGCACGCGCGCCTCCGGTCACCTCCTTTTCGCGTGCGCGCCGCGAGATAAACCAGCTGATTCAATATTGCAACACTTCCTAATAATTCAGGATTCAATTTATCGAGGAGCTGCGAGATCAAAGCGCCCGCACGTAGTAACTTTCATTGAATTAGCTTTGGAAATGTCACGATTAATTATTTTAATCCACGAGCGTTTTGACGAGCGTTAAGAAACGAGCGTTTAATTTAAATATATAATAAATATTTATAATTTTAGATTATAAAGTTTCAGCTAATTGGAAATTCTGTTTAAGCGAGTTTTCTGGAATTGCAGGATCTGCGTTATATTCGCATTTAATGCACCAAACTAATCCTAATATCTGTTTTCATCTAATTAAATTTACGATGAATTTGATACATGTTACTATTCGAAAGTGGAGATATCGTGGTATTTAAATTCTAAAACCGGTTTATCCGCAGCCTGAAAATTTTTTTGAAAAATTATGAAGGTACGAAGATGAGCTAATCCTACAGCTATTTCTCTTTAAATTCACAATGAAATATACGTTACTTTTCGAAAGTGGAGATATCATGGTATTCTAATTTCAAAATCGGTTTACCCGTAGATTCGCAAAAAATTATACGGTGATTGATACAGGTACAAAGATGAAGCCAAACGGCTCGTTGATCATGAACGGCTGGTCCCCCCGGTCTCCACACGAATAGAAACGCCGAAGGTGTGTGCGCGTTAATGTAACCGGCGATACAAAAATATCATCTCTCATCTCCGGCTGTGAATATACCTAGACGAATTCACTTTATGATCGCTCCGTCGTCCGATGTTTTCATCTGGCTTAAGCGAGAGCCAACACTTATCCCACTCCGTCGAGCGACGAGCGAGACTCGTTTTCGATGATATGAAACTAATAATTACGTGATTAACCGACTGTGTTATAAAATCCAAATAAGAAATACCGCGTCGCCGCGGTTATCACGCGGCGTAATCATACGTATTATTGTCACCTGTCGCGAAGCGCTCGGCGAGTCTCTTAATTATCTTTTCGCGGTAATTGGATAGTAGGCGGCCTCAGGGGGGTATTCGTAAACACTCCGTATTGCAAGTCACTTTTGCCTGTCGTATACAATAGGGAGTTAAGTCCGGCGGAATGAGCGTGCGAAAAAAAAAAGAAAAATATATTCTTGCAGTGCGCAGGATGCGCGCTCGGCTTTCATCGATAAGCACGCGGAACGACGCGTTCCCGCTCAAAGAGCACACCCGGTAGAACGATCGGTGCGTGCTTCCGCGGTATGACCGTGCGCAGACCGCGTATATCCTCGATCCATTATTAATTTCAGAGTGACGCACTCAAGGTGCACGTGCACCCGTCCACGTGTAGGTGTTAGTCGGCTAGCGAGCAATACGATATCGCGCGATACACCGGGCAACCTCGTGCGAAACCTCGGGCGAACGGCGTGGGATGAGCTTAACAAATGATTGATAAAGCAGGATCGTGGCCTCGGGCCGTCTTAAAGCAGCTCGACCGCTTAGGTAAGCAATATCACCATGCACCTATCGCGAAACCTCTCGACAACGATCCTCCCGAAACTCGGGCACTAGGGAGGTCGACGATAAGTCTATTCTTTCCGGGAAATTGAATTTCAGAATGAAGTGGGTTTTTAAGAAGTAGCGGCGATAAAGCTTCGCAATATGCGTGCGGTTATAGCTTATTTTGTCCAGCCCAGCGCGGCAATACAATTACGGGGCTGTAGAGATAATAAATTTATGGCATAATAAATCGTCCATTAATTCCATGTTATTCAGTCATTTCTAATAATTGCAAACAGATCGATTACTCGTCCATTAACCCAATCAACGGATTCCTGCTTAATTAAACAGGAATCCAGAACAGAAAATGTAGGGAAAGAGGCATTACCAATAACGTCCCCGACATAGAGATCCGTTTCGCCCCACGGATTAAACGTTCCGATTCGGTAATGACCAAGTGGTTGACGCGCCGCAAATTGTCATCAAAGTTAAATCAAAATAAAATTAAAAAAAAGAATATTCGTTTATTTCATGCGTAACCGTTCGCGTGTTTCGACCGATTTCTCGCTGATCAAAAAAAAAAAATGTTCGTTTATTTCATGCGTAACCGTTTCGCATATTTTTTTTAACCGATTCCACATTAATAAAAGAAGAATGTCCGTCTATTTCATGCGTAACTGTTTCGCATATTTTGACCGATTCCACGTTAATAAAACAGAACGTTCGTTTATCTCATGCGTCACCGTTTCGCGTGTTTTTAACCGATCCCGCATGTCCGACCACTTGCTAAAGACTTATTCTTCGCCACATATCAATTCGTGCGTAATAATCGATCGCCCCTACGATCTCGGCGCGTCGAGAGGAAAATTTCGCTGCATGCGAGATCATTACTAAACGTCACGCTCAATACGCCGCGAATGTCTACCGTGCATCGTAATTGCAATTACGATTAGCACAATTTTCATCGTTCCCCCCTTCCCCCCTCCCCCTCCTCCTCACCTCTTCGTCAAGCTGTCGGTGCCTACTTGAGAGAGCGATCGTCTCCGCGTCGATCAAATTATTATCACGCTCGAGGAGTATCGACTTCATCGATCGCTCGAAATATTCTCGTCCTTCGCCTCGTAATGACCGACAGGAAGTGCACTTTGGATCTTTATCGGCGCCATAAACGTTCCGTATATAATAGATATAATTCAGCCCGGCATCTGATTACACGATCTGCTGACTCTTCTCGTCCAATGAACCTCCTCCGAGGTCGCCGACAACGTCGCGCGGCTTCCTTTTTCGTTGCCTCGATCATGTGTTTTCAATTGGTCCGTCCCTCGGTCTCTTCTTCTTGTTTCTTCGCGGAATCGCATCTCGTTCGCGATCGCGGCAGCGAGACGCGTCGCGAGAAAACCGGGTCGACGAACCACGAAAGTCCTGGCGAAAATGATCCCGCCACGGCTACGCCAATTTTATCCTTCCGCCAGCTGCGAACCTGCGCGCGCTTTTTTTCCTTCTCCTCGTTTATTTCTCGTTAGGTCCGATTTCTCACGAACGGCGGAATGAATCCGAGAAGAGAGAAGCGCCATGCAGCGCGCGATCGAAATATCTCCGACCGTCAGGACCGAGGATCATTAGCGGGTAATAAAATCCACGAGGTGCTGTGCACGAATGCGTGTCCGAAGCGTCGGTTTCTTCTCAATCGCGTGATATTGCGTGATGATTTTTCGGTGCTTGGCACAAAACACGAATCAAACAAGCTGTAGTAACGCAACAGCGATTTTTCGTGTATCATCTTCTTAGATCACGAAAAATATCAACGATATCAGCTGCTCCGGTTTGTCTTCGAGATTATTACATGAAGTGAAAAGTAAAAGCACTAGTCTTCTATTACTTTTTATGTACTTTGTATTCAAGAACTATAAGTAATACATATTGCAATGAATTGAAGTGAAAAAAATATAACTTGTTTTCCGTGAACATAATTAAACAATGACGTAACGTAAATGAGAGACAGGGAAGTATTGCATTATTTCAAGCTGTTAAATTATTTAACAGCTTTTAAATTGTCTTGTAATATTCGCGTTTTAAATTAACATAGTTGTATATATGTAGCTTTTGAATTAATGGAATTTCCTTTAAGCTCGCGCAATATATAAGGTCCGTTAGAAGTCGATGTTAAGTACAAATGACAAAATGGGATAAAGGAGTTAACTGTCAACGCATTAAATCTGTCCTTTCTATCAAACCCCGAGGCTCATGGATGCGATCCTTTCCCCTCGCGGATTTAAAAGCTTACCGCTTTTCCATATGTCATCGACGTTTGCATCACTTTTCCAAGCCTGGCCAATAACAAAAACTAACGAAACAGTAAACATTTCATATTGTAGTGAGAAATGTTTACAATAATTGTAATTTAACGTATATAAAAAATTAAGAAACAGTATTGATTTAAATTAAATTGTATTGTCATTAATATAGAATGATTTATTTAATAAAATATAAACTACATGATATGAAAAATTAAAAAGTATTAAACGTTATATCAAACACTATTATTGATACACCCTCCAGTTTTTTATTTTAGCTAATCATACTCAAGTAGTAAAAAAAGCTGTCGAAAAAAACAGATTTCTTATTTTATTTCTGTTATCTTTACACTTAATTTTATTGACATCTCACTGCATCGTGATGTGATTTCACAAATAATGCTCACAAATAACTTTATTTATCAATGTTATTAGTAATAATTTGTGGATGACAGTTAAACGTAGAGAGACATTGTATTGCTCGGTAACAGCCGCGGAATGCGAGTAATGAAAGCAAGGTTGATCCCAAGGAGATCGCAAATGATAATTCCCAATCGATTATATGCGTGCGTTCCAGTTTTCTCTAGCTCGCAAATTTTTCGACATTTCTTTCTGCCACGCAGCCGGTCGAGTGAAAGTCCCTGTATGCACAACATTTTTCGCATGCCAGATCTAAATCCTGTTCACAGACAATTCAAGTTTTCGTGATATCTCCCTATATCAGTTGGTCACTGTAAATACTCGAATCAGGCTGTCTTAGAATTTAATAATTAATTAAAATCAATTTATCATATCAATTTCTTAAAAGAAGTTCAGTTGTCAGGGCTTGTCACTTGTATAATAAAATATGATATTATTATTTAATGCCATGTCATGCTTATGCATATAATTTTCTAGAAACTTAATTAATTATTAATTCTTACTTTTTGTGAATAAGCGATTACATCTTTACGCGTCACCATACAAATGATGGGATGATTTAACGCGATATAGCGTAAGCTTACATATAGCCACAGGTTTACGCTGCGGTTGCAATTAACATTACGATGGATGATAATTTAGCCAGAGGTCAGGAGCGAGGATCAGAAATATTATATCATAGAAAAACGGTAAAGTTTATTAGTCAATTTAGCAGAGGGGGCCTTAACGGTCACGCGGAACAAAAAGACGAAGGCGAGGTGCGCGGAGATAAGAGCGCGATATTGAACTGGAGGAATCTTGAGGTCGCGGCTGGATGCGGACGCGTGTGATCTTTGACTCGCGACACCGTTGGCTCTTTCAGGGATCATTAATTTCGTGCGATTCGATTCCGACGGAGTCAGCCGTTTGTGCGGCCTCGCGTCGCGCCGCCGTAAAAAAGAAATCTAGCGATTGAGCCATCGATTCTTTCCCGATTTTTCGAATTCCACTTTTTGCTGATAATTATCGATTACCGTTCAGCCGAATTCCACGACAACGATCTTGTACATATGTACCGAGCATAAATCGACGTATAGAATATTAATGTATGCGAAGGCATGTCGTGGCCTAATCGCTGAACTCTGTATCCCAGAAAAAGAAACAAAGGGGTTTCGAAATAACAATCCTTTTACGATTTCTGTTATATGATTAGCGCAGTAACACACGATGTAAATTTAAAAAACTTAATTATAAGTATCATCGCGTAGTATCATCTTTTTTCCCCATTCCAATATTTTAAATGCAATCGACAGTATAATTATTATATATATTCTAAAATAGAGAGCTTCTCTCGACACGCTAATAAATTAAGCATTATTATATTTTTTTTCTTGTAAAAATCTATTTTCTTATTATCTAAATTAATAAAATAAAAATCATTTTATATATACATTTATACACATTTTTATAATTATAAATAAGAATCTCTCTTATATTAAATCGTCTAAAAGCGGAACATACGTTCCTGTTTCCTCCGTTCGTCGAAATAAATCTCGCGAATCGGACAGCGCCGAGGATTGAGAGCGAAGGCGTTGAGTTGTAAGACAAAATTGAGACTAGTCTCGCGTCAAAAGGAAAAGGAATTGCGAACCGGCCCGGTCCGATAGTCTGTTCGTGAATGCTCGCTCGTATACGCACAAATACGCGCGTAACGCGTTTCACGCCGGCACGACGAAGGAATCGCGCGCGCGCGCGCGCGTGTATACGTAATAACGGTACAAAACGCGGAAGCGATCGGCACGCGACTCGCCTTATCGCGGCGCGCGATCCGCAGTGTCCACGCGCGTTATACTCGCGAAAGGAACAACAAGCACCGCCCGACACATTCTCGCGCCGAACTTCGAACACGAGGCTTGCCGCCGATCTCGTTCCAATGAGAAATCGCACGCATACATGGCGATTACATATCGATCCTTTTTGATCGCGATCGACAACGTCACGTCGCTGTCGTGTAATAAAAATAGAAATTAATCTTCGACAAATCGAGCAGAAGGACATGATCGTGTAGATTTTGCGATATTTTGACAATGGTTCGGCGATATTTCAAACGCGTATCTCCATCTAGCCATATCTATCTGTGTATATACATATACATTAATCTCAGTTATCATTTATGAGCTCTTTAAGAATGTAGATCCCACGCACGCCCGTCCGGCTAGACGCAAGTTTCTATGTATTAATTTAGCGATCGTTGCACGCGACGCCTCGTATTTCATCGCGTCTCTTTATGATTTACGAGCGACTGACTTATGGAAAGGTAATGCGGGATGATCGTTATGGCTCGACTGTGCCTGTCAATCTCCTGTTCTTGGACTTCAGAACCTTTCTAATGAAACTAAGCCAGCTGTTTGCACCTTCGTTAAGATGCACCTACGTGGTTTTCCGTTCGTATTCTTAAACGCAATTTACTCACGGTAAACCTATCTCGCTGATAAATTACAATATATAAAAATTCCTGCTGAAAATGACTGGTGTCAGAGGTACCAATGAAAATATCTGATAGCATTGAAATTGTGATGGAGCAACGATTATTTCGTTTATTAGCATTTTTGGTAGTTCCATAAAGCTCACTCTGTAAATTTATTAATTTCTATCACTCCAAAAAAAAAAATACTGAGAAATCTTATAGCATTTATTTATTTTTTTTCGTATGCCCTCCTATACGTTAATTCCACGCTTTATCTAAATGTGACGTAAATGAATGATATCTGAAGAAATAATTTCCGACCGTTGATTAGCATTTTCTTTAGAAAGGTCTATTCTAGATTTATTAAATTTGTTATTATAATAAGCATGCTGTTAATCATTTATGTTAATTATTCTTTATTCAGTTTTTATAACGATCAGTATTTATAACGTTTCAGTATTTATAACGATCTTTTATATTATTCTCAAAATAATATTTATTGTTTTAAATTTATGGTATTTTTTGCTCTCTCTCTTTCTCTCTCTCTCTCTCTCTCTCTCTCTCTCTGCCTTTAAGCCGCGAGATTTCTTTGTTACAAGCGCAAATGTTTAATGCTTACACGGTTGCCCATAAGTTCTTTGTTTTTTAAATTTTTTCAGAAAAGCAACGGCACCCTCGACTTCTATACACAAGAGGATTAGATTCTTCCCCACAATGTTTAACAAGAGTTTATCAGAGTTCGATATGGTTTTTTTTTCACTAACACTTCACCGACCCTTGCATTTTTTTTACCTCGAACCCTTCTGCGTCCCGCGTTATTACACCCACATTAACCAGTCTTTAATGTGTTTGTCTACCGTACAAAAGTTCGATGAACTTTTCTCGAGAAGGCTTTAAAGGTGCGCAGCCTGTTTCATGCGCAGAATTTTCGCGAATGACTACGCCGATGAATGAATCATCATTCGCGAATAAATTTATATAGATAAACTTTGTTGTTATGTACTTTAATTTAATATTAATTTAATACGCTAAAATAATTAACTCCGACAATATTTATATGGTTGCATTTCTATCGTATAAAATTCTAGAATGTTGATTGTATAATATATATCGTTCTGTTTAAATATTGATGTAGTCAATTTAGACAAAGTATTACTTCTTGAATTTTCATAATCACAATTCCTGATTTTATAAAGATCTATATAATTATTCCCATTATCATAAAAAATTTCAATATGTCACAGATTATCCCTCTTAATGTCTGTTTCCATTAAAGTTTATTTCAATTATTTAGATGACGGGTACAAAATATGTTCGCGTACAATGAAAGCCACCATACATTATTAATAATCTTGATTTAAGAACTAGACTACGGAAAAATATAATGTGAGACGATATAATTTTCTTGCTCACATCTATTGCGATTTATTTTTAGGTTTCACATTAAGCCCAAATTCATATCGCGTAAGAATGTTATAATATCTTTAATAATACGATCGCTTTTCGTACGATTTCTTGTGCGGAAAATCGAGTATCGGAGCGGTTTGATTCCCTTCGATTCAGGTACACATACACGTATATTTATTCCCATATTTACGAGACGACAATAGTCCCTACCCGGCGATATTTCGGAAATACCCCACGTACATACGTACCTACCTACCTATCTGTCTACCTACCTACCTACCTACCTACCTACCTACCTACCTACCTACCTACCTATCTACGCGCTGTGTATACAAGGTGCATCATGAAATCCCAGAAAACCTATCAAACGCGCGCAGCTGCGCCAGGTATACACGATAGCTGCGATTCTTTCGTATAAACCGCGGATCTATCCCTCCCTCCGTCGTCGTAGTCTTCATCATCGTTTCGAAAGCGTGGGTGCCTTTTCTCTCACCCTGGCATTTTATCCCCGCGCTTTCGCGACGTGCCGTACCTGACAGATGTTCTCGATGATCACGATCGACCGCTACCTTTCCCTCCCCCCCCCTCCCGCTTTCATCCCCGGAAGATCTCAAGGGATGAAACTTCTTGTGTGTGCATGCAACAATGCGCCTGAAATAGTCCCGGAATGCTACAGCTACTGCACTGCCGTTTATCGTTGCGCAGTAGGTCATTGTACTCTTCTCTTTCTCTCTCTCCCTCATCTTTTTCCGTTTATCACCTTTCTTTGTGTCCGCAGACGGACTGGTCGCTGAAAGAAAATCGAGGTTGGTAACATGGCTTCGATATTCGGCTTCGAATCGGCTTCTTTCGGGGATGAAAAAGTTTGTAGGGAAGACACGTGCGTGTGTCACGAGGGAAGAAGCGTTTAATCGTCGGCTTCGCGTATGTGAATCTACGTAGCTTGAGCTAAGCGAGTAGCAAGTATCATTACAATTGAAATTAAAAGTGTTTTATGTAACCTACAATAAGATTCATTTCACAATATTACTTTACAAAACAGTACTTTCTAATTTCTGCGATTGTTTATGAAATTACCGATTTCTTTGTACAATATTTCCCAATCGGTGTGTTACACTTCTTGTAAAAAGAATTCTAATATTTTACATGTGTATTTTATAGAATTTGAAAAAGCAACGTTGTTTAGCTTGGGAAAAAATAAAACCCTGAGAAAACTGACAAATGCACGGTACGGTATCTGTACGGTAGCTCCGCTGCTGTTGCGCGTATATAGCGCGGATTTGAGGGAGCACGAAACGTCCCTTCGTTCTCTCGTGCAACAATGAGGCACGTCGTTGCACCGTGGCCATGTATCATCGCTCCTATATGGTGCGCGACCGCGTTCATTTCGCGGCACGTTTTTTCGTCCCGCCTTATTTACACGTTCCTTCGTTTGCGCTTCCTCTTCGCGTTGAAAGAGCAAAAAAAAAAGACCCAAGTCGGTACTACACACGATGGTTTTTGTTCGAAATGTGTTTCCTTCCCGCGTTGCAGGAAATATTCGGGTTGCGGGGTGAAGATACGATCAATTTTACAACCAATTATTACGATGAAATAGCGGTTACGAAACCCACAATTATTTCTTCGAATTGAAAATACTTGCGCGAATAAAAAAACACATTTGTTTATAATTTAATTCCTGCTCATAATTGTTATATATTTATTTATATGTAATTTGTTTCCTCCTTTAACTTTATTAATTTTAATTAATCAGGATTGAGCTAGCTAAGTCTTTATTCTTTTTAAATCCCTCTTGGTTTTTAAATGAAAATTAAGAATTGAACAACATTGGCGAAATCTCTGGCATTAATAAATTTAATACGCGCATACCTTATTCGGTAACTGCACCAAATGACAGTCCTTCCCGCGTCGTAAATGCAAATCAAAACGAGCGGGTTTGCGTGATGAAAGATATAACGACTTTTTTTGCGCCACGGCAGCCGATAACTATTGGATACTGTGTCGCTCTAATCGAAATGTGCGGCGTAACATTTCGAATACGGCTCATACGCGCCGATATCGCGGTCTTTAACGCCTCTCAACATTGTACCGGAGATTTATGGACACCGTTAAACTCCGCTACTTGTAATCAGTCGCACTCGGGCAGATAGGAGGTAAAGCGTTGCGCGGTAGGCGGCTCGCGCGCCCGCCGTAAGAAAGGAATTATGGTTTCTCTGGGGCGCGTTTTCTCGCGCGGCGCGGCGGCCACTCCTTTCGCGGCTCCCTGCTCTCCTAAGGACGCATTTACATAAGTAAACCTTCTAGCGCGCGTGCAATCAATGACAGGTGCACGGAGAGCGACAATCGAGTGCCGGGAAAACGATGGTGGGTACGCGCGTACGTCGCCATGTACGGAAAGTCCGCCCGGCGGGGGGAGAATGTGCCCCGGGAAAACAGCCGAAGAATCACGAGGGAAATTGCGAACGAACGTATTTCCTGATCGGTCTTTTTTTTTCAACTTCCGCCGCTCTTTGAAAACAACCTCTTTTTTTCTTTGTACTATTAAATCTTTCGTCCC